GGGTTCTCTGGCTTCCTCCCACACAGTCCAAAAACATGTTGAGGTCAATTGGTGATTCTAAATTGTCCACAGGTGTGAATGTGAGTGTGCTTGGTGTAGCCCTGTGATAGACTGGTGACCTGTCCAGGGTGTCCCCTGCTTTCGCCCTAAGTAGGCTGGGATAGGATCCAGCCCTCCACAACCCTAGTGAGGATGAAGTGGTGTATAGATAATGGATGGGTTTGCACATTTCTTTTAAATTGTATGTCCAACTGATGTGTACTTCTCTCTGTGTCCATATGGGTGCAGTAAAGAGCCAAGTATAGTAATCATCCAAGTAAACAAATTGTTGGGATCTTTTAAACTCTTGTTCTTGTCAGACGCCAAAACCTTCTGATGGCACACAAACAGAAAACAGTATTTGTGTGCATATATTATATATATATCAACACTGTACATTACTCATCATGCCACTATTTCAACTTACTGAACGACTGTTGACAATGCATTAACACAATGGATTAGCTGTAAGCCAGTTGAGGCATAATGGTGATTCAAACAATACTGATGGGCTAATTGCAGCATATTTCACTCGCTGTTCTTAATTAAATGTATTAAGTTGTCCATCTGCTTGTTCCTCACTTTCTGTCATCCTAAACTAGAACAGTCAGGGGTGACACAGTGTGTATTTGTAACTGTTCTCTGTTGGTGTGCAGTAGAAGCAGCAGAATAAATAGGCACGTCTTGAGCTCTTGTATAAGAGCTTGAGTTACAGACAGACAGGAGGACCGCTGTATATTAATATCATTCTTTCAGTTATATATTGTGCTTTGTCTTTTTGTGTGAGAAACAATTACAGAAAGACCTTGGCTTGTGTGCGGTGGACATTTTATAAACGTAACAATGTACATAGTTTTGAATGGATTTTTTCCCCCAAACTGGTGCACATTCAGTACCAAAAACTAATAACTGTGTGCTCTTTTGTTTATTGTATATGCACAGTATGTTTGTGTGGTGTCTGTTTGTGTAGTGGAGCTCGAGAGAACGGTAAATCTACTGCCTGTAAACCTGTCTGATAATATTGACACTTCAGGGACGTTTACAGATGATTGGCTGTCGCTCTAACCCACAGAATGTCTTTTTAAACCTGATTTAATGAGCCGCAGTGGATCCTGGTAGCAAGCTGTCAATTACAAGGTAGGCCCACCATAAAACATACCACACTATGTCAAGATTTCTCCAAACTGGACCATAGTAAGACTGTGCTGTATTAAAAATGATTTGAAAGTAGCAATTCAGGCCCTGACCTTATTAGAAAAATGTTTACAGAGTCAAGTAATGAAGTGAGAAGTAGAGTCATTTACACATAGACTTCTATACAATCTGACTTCTTTTGGCAAATAGAGGAGTCGCCCCCTGCTGGCCTTTAGAAAGAAGTTTAATGCACACTAATGTGCTTTACTTTTCAAATTAACGGCTACATTCATCTGTTAAGGTCTGCGTTCTAGCCTTTAATGAAACTGCAGCCTGCTACCTTATTTTGTCCACATTTGCTTCATAAATGCATTCTGGTAATAATTCAGCTTTTAATCTTGTGTCGTAAGATGTTTATATCTAATTACTGCTATTTTGATTCCCTTGTCAGTTTCTTTTTAATTTCTTATACTTCTAGAATGTAAATGTTACAGTACTTGATTTATAATAAAAAGTTCCCACTGATTGGTTAAACTCAGACAAGATGAATGCTGACTGGCTAAATTCAGACAGAACAACAAACACAATTTCTTGATGTCCTCGTGCAGTAGCACAACATCGCCATCTTCAGACTACAGTGTAACATTCATGCTAACATAGTACACTCATCATTGTTGTGTTTCCTGTGTGCTCATAGATCCACAGTTAATGTTGTGGTTGAAGCCACTGGATCCTATGCCACAATGGAAACAGAAAGGTTATAGGGCAGATTATAGGACTGTTCCTAATAAACAGTCATGATTTAATGTCAACCTACTGGGTGTTATAGTGCAGACTTCACAAGTTGAGCATTCTTCAGAAGCAAATGTGGACTTTTTTTTTTTTGAAGTTTTTTTTTTCAGCCTTTTTGCCTTTTATTGGATAGGACAGTTGAAAGAGAGACAGGAAAGCGGGGGAGGAGAGAGGAGAATGGGGGAAGGGGTCGCAGCAAAGGGCCATGAGCGGAATTCGAACCCATGGTCACTGCATCGGAGACTATAGCATCTATGCCTGGTTCGCCAGCTCAACCAGGTGAGCTAAAGCAGCGGCCCGCAAATGTGGACTTTTACATTCACACTACATTGATTATATTTGTTGTTAATCATTGTTTGCAGCTTTGGGCCGGCCCACCTCTGTGCCCCACAGAGACATGCCTATGAAAAAATAGTAAAAGTTTAAGGGACTTTGGTTTGACTTTAGCTACTCAGGTAGATTAATCGTAACAACTGGACTTGCTTGAGTTCGTTGAAGATGTTTCACCTCTCATCCAAGAGGCTTCATCAGTTCTGACTGACTAGTTGGGAGAACCAGATACTTATAACCTAAGGAGCCATTAACACCTGAGGTTCGGTTTCAGGTGGGGGTTGTTACTCCTCCCCCTCGTTATGCGAGTCGTTAGTGCTCCCCCTGCAACAAAGAGGTACGATTAATCCACCAGAATAACCATGACCTGGATGACTGAGAATCTTCACAGACACTTTAGCTGCTCATGATTATGGAACCAAAATTGCAAAAAGCTTTTTACTTTTTCATTTGTCCAAAAGGGCAGAACAGCCAAAGAGGACAAAAGGGTTGCTGTCCGAGCCTTAATAGACACTTAATGGACAAAGGGACAGCTTTTAAAAGTCCCACTTTGGTTGGTCACTGATTAAAGCCTTAAAACTCATCTCTTCTGTATCAAAGTTACATATTTAGTTACTATAACGTTGATTCATCTATGTGAAGATGTATGAAGTCCCTGCCCCTCTTTTTTCTGACCACACAACTCAAAACTATTCCACTCATTGACAAGCTACAACACTGGAGTGATTCATCCACACATGTACAGAAACTGATTCTAAAAAAGAATAATGACACAGAAATTCTCATCTCATAAGTTGATTGTAGGGTTTTCTTTGGTTTGTTACATATGAAAGGAAGTCCAAATTTTTTTGACTGTTACTGGCACACTGCAGTTTAAGGTGAAAATGCTCCACCATGGCATTGACTGCTTATTTGTCTCATGATGTATCTTCTATCATATAAAAAAGAAAGCACCATGTGAACATGTTAATAAGGTTAGGATTTTCACCAGAGGGGGTCTTTCATAATCTTGATTGGCAGAGTCACCTTTAAGTGACTGTGTGTTAAATATGTGCAGTATGTGTGTCTGAAAAGGCAAATAAGTTTTCTTCACAAGTCAACATCGTGTTTTATTCTTTCCCAGCATAGATAGATCAATGAATCCAGACCTGCCTCAGATCCTGCACGTTTAACAATAAGACTCAACAGAAACCTTCCCTCTCATCAAAAATCATACACATTTATATTGCTTTATATCAGTTTTACAGACAAATTTACATCAAATCAATATGTATTTGGAGACCAATTTTTTTATTTCCAAACTAAAAGCTTGATTTTTATTTACAACTGGGAGTATTCTGGTTTATGTTCAGCAGTGTGGCAGAGAATTTGTCATTTTTTCTTCTCCTTGACATTTATTACTTTGTTAATTCACCTGGAGGCATTCTGTGTAATCTAGTAATGTAATATTAATATCATAATTGAGGTCCACAGTACTCTCTTTAGCTTTAATTGCTCAGGACTAACACAGATGGTTGGCATTAATTCTGTTTAATTTGGCTGTAAAATAAGATGTGTCAAAGCAGGATTAGCTGTAAGATTTATGTCTGGTTTAAAATGTTTTCTATTCAGGAAATCAGCTCATTAGTCCCAATGCTAATCCCAGGAAAGCCTGAGTTTTGTTCACAATCAACACTAATGACAATATCTTGGCTTACGTGTAATGATGGAAGCCTTGGTGAATTACACCCAACGCTCATGTAAAGACAGTGTTTCTCTGCTCCAGTGCTGAATCTCCTCCATACTGGCCTCAGGCAGCAGCTACATGACAGACTTGGGATCTTCCCACTAATAAATACAATGCAATTATCTGGACTTGTGTTGAGTCTGAAAGGTGGCAGAAACATATTATTGTTTATTACAGACACTCAACCTTTCAGAGCGCATACAGACATAACAGTCCCCCAGAAGGACTGATGATATAAAATATCTAATCTGTAGAGCTAATATCCACAACATTTGTAATCCTGATTTTAAAGTGTCTGCAGTCCATAATGCAATAACAGGGAGATTCTCAAGCATCTCATATAGACAACACCTCCTGCTTTCTAAAATGCATTTTGTGCTTTTCACACTGCCCAGTTTTAGCCCAGGGTTACCGTCAGCAGGCAGGACTGAGGCTGAGAAGCTGCTGCCTTTTCAGCCCCTTTTCATCCAGTTCAGATGTGTGGGTACTGACTCTGTGCTGTTTTTTGTTATTGTTTGTTTATTTTTTTATATGATATCAAGCTGTTTTCTTTAGCTGCTTATGGTGAAATATAAAAAGAACCCTTTTTAATTGTGTACTTGTGTGAAGTAGAAGTGAACTGAGTCTCTGGGCTGTAGTTAACTGAGTACATTATGATACCAATCAACTCAAATCTTTTGGTCCAATTTGTCAAAGACACCTTAGTGGCTCATAAAGGTCCAATAAAGGCCCCAGATACATTCTAAATTGTCAGTAAAATGAGACATTTTAATACAACTTTGAGTTACATAAGTCTAAGTTCTAAGACACCACTTTTTTCTGACTATAAAATTATATTGAAAGGAACAGCTTTGGGAGATTCTTTTGGCTTTACAGTCAGTTCTTTCACCTTTTAAATGCAGACACGCTGTTGGACTTAGATCCAGTGTAAAACATGGCATTTATCAGTGTTGTAGCAGTCTGTTAATCTGTCAACACCAGTAAGAGCTACTTTATTTTTCTCATTGTCACAAATCCCAAGAAAAACCAACAATGACTGAATCAGTCCTACTAACAAGTATCTGCTGTCCAACGTCTGATAGCTCATTCATTTGTGCCGAAGAGCACCAGGGTCCCTTCATCACAACTGACGTTTATTTTTAATCAATGACACCATCTTACCACCCTATAAAAACACAACAGCACTAAATCTGTACTTATCCACCACTAGAAATGTGTCAAATACATTCACTACTGATTGAGTAATGTTTTGTTTTTTTTACCCATTTTTAATGATGGATGTCCTTCGCCCTAATTACAGACAGATGTTAAGTCAGAAAGTACAGAGAGAATGGACAAGCACATTGTTGGTTTTGGTCATAAGATTTCTTGACAGTTACAGAAATGTAGCATTTTGTCTGCCTCGTCTTTTACATTTAAGTTCAGCATTGACATTTGGAATTTGCATTATAAAATAATTCTTGTCTCTGCTTAGGATATGATGCTAAACTCATCAGTCAGTCCTGGGTTACAGCAGGTGCAGTGTGAAAAGGGCTTTATATTTTTGTAGGCTTTTACTCAGGGGGGGTTGTAACTCGGGGGTTCGAAGAAAGCAACTCAAGCCTTTAGGAGGAGTATTCGTACTCCTCGGCACTACGTCTTCCAAAGTCCATCCAGCCGATGTAATCTCTGTCCTTTATCCTGTGGCTGGGGGCCAAACCGCTGGCTCTGCTGCTGAGGGAGGATCTGCTCTGGTAGGGAGAGCCTGGAGGAGACAGAGACAGAAAGATGCGATGAGGGAAGCTTGCGAAGACGCACAACATTCGTCCTGTACTGGTTGTGTTAGAATAATGTACAAATTCCAAACAAGACAGTCACTCTTGCTGACTTGCTCTGTTTCTATTTCCGTCTTTGTGTGTCCTGTAAGACCAGTGAGCTCAGCAGGTCTCCAAGTCACACAGTGTTGACTCGAAAGAGGAACAGAGATCCACAGTGACAGAGGGAGCAGAGAGTGAAGCAGGGAAAATAAACGGTGGAGGGGGCAGGCTTGGTGGAGGAAACACAAATGGAAGAGACAAGGAGAGGGAACAAGGGGGGAGGTATGGAAAAATAGAAAGAGGAGCGAGGAAGCTAGAGGGAGGTGGGAAATGCCAGATGGTGGGACTTGGAGCCCAGCATGAATAACAGCAGACTGCAGAAGGATGGATGTCAGGAAGAGAGAAAAAACAAGACCAGGAGCGAAATAAGAGCAGAGGAATGAGCTGTGTGTAATGAGATAACATGACTAAAGGGGAAGACGTTCGCCACAGCTGCTCTTTCTGTCCACGTCTGCTCTCCGTCCTGCATCAGCAGTCATGCATATGCGACCGCTCACCTTTCCTGGAGATGAGTCTGGCCAGGAGCTGGCTCAGGCTGTTGGAAGTGTCTGCGTCCTGGCTGTAGCTGGCGAACTGCCCTGAGGGGGGCGCTGGAGCTGAGCGGGCCTGGCGGGAGTGGACGGGCGAGGAGGGATGAACGCTGTCTGTCACCAGAGCCAAACTCTCAGCTCTCTGTGGGAGGATGAGGAAGGCAAGACAGTCATGGAACCAAAATGATATTAAAAGACATGCATGGTATATAAGGTTTTAATGAAGTATATAGAGGTAGTTTAAATGAAAAAATACATCTTTAGGAAGCATTTTAGTCAGTACAGTGAGTATGAGCAGGGTCAATGCCACTTCCCCATACTGTAAAGCATACTATGTGATGATGGTGTGTTTCTGAAGAAGTTTCTCAAGTTCATTTGTCTTTTATGCCACATTCACAGAACATCATCTATCATATGCATGTGTCTTACCACGGACTGTGAAGGCAGACTCAGGGAACCACTGGACAAAGCAGCCAGGATGACACACACACAGATACCTACATTCATGACTGGACACAGAGAGAAAAACAAGTTAAAACAATATCCACTATATCTTATGTGGTCATGTTCCTGTTTAATGACTTGTCTCTGTTCTCTTTCTCTATCTCTCTTCTGAGGGGGAAAAAAAAAAATCAGAGGTATTGTGAGTTTTTGCCGAAAGCAGCAATAAATCACTTTACAGTCACTGAAGCGCAGCAGTGGAGGAAGAGATTAACCTTTGATGGTTCTGTTGGAACCTACGGCAAACATCACTTTGTCTCCTCTTACGCACTCCGCTCGCTCTGCCACAGAGTGACACAACAATTTAGTATTTAACGTGCACGTACGCGAGCACGCTTGGTTCGTGGCGTAGTTGTGATGAATGCACACTGTCAGCATCGGTAGGATCCCAAAGACAAGACGGCAATTATCTCTGCAGCCTAACTGTGCTGGATTTTTTTGAAGAGGGTTCACGTGAGAGTCTTTCTTAGCAACATTGCATTCCCACTGATTGTTGAATTGATTTACTCACACAAAGGGCTTAAAACTGATTTTTAAATAGACAAATATATTGAAAAATAATACATTTAACTCATCTTTTCATATTTGTCACAGCATTTATTTGCTTTGAACATTATTTGTATGTTTGACTTTATATCTATATTTGATCTAAATCACAGTTTTGAAGAAAAAAAAAGCAGTGTGCTTGTGGAAAAACTATTTTAAGAAGCTGTTTTTTACATTACATTAGTCAGATTTGCTCATTTTCTAGTCCTGCATGTGTCATGGAGCCTAAATAAGCAGCATATTAGCTGTTGATGAATGATGCCTCCTGCCAAATTATTCCTTCAGGGGAAAACATTCAATTAAATAAAACAAACAATGCCAGTTGCTCTGAGACTTTCAATCTTCAATCAATCAAAACCCTCACTGTCCGTCTGCCTGAGTGTTTGCTCTCCGTAAACCTCTTATTCTCTCTCTGAGCGGAGATGTTTGTTCACTATTTTCCAGGGTCTTTTCTCACTTGCTCTTTGTTTTTTTTTCTCTCTTTCCTTTGCTTCTTTGTTTCTTTGTCAAGTCAAGAAATGGTATCATGGCAGCACTTATGCACAGGAAAGTACACCCACAGTAGCTACATTATTATCAAACAGCATCCTTGTTAAGACCTTTTGATGAAGTGAGTGTTTCAACAAATATTCTTATCCTACTGATGTGTTCATCCCTCAGCAGCCTGGACGACACTGTTGCTGCGAGTCCAGAGCTTCAGTACAGTAGAGAATATTAAAATAAAACCGTTCCTGTTTATATTTGTCTAATTTTATCGCTGTAACTCGATACAACAGTGAATAATTTTGTTTAAATTGACACAGTGGTGGTGTAAATGACCATTCTGTTGATGCTAATATAATTCCTGTTAGCAGCTGGTCATTGTCTGTCATTCATTATTCAATCGGCTGGTAATGATGCTAATGTAATGTGTGTGAAAACCCTGTATTCTCTTTTTTCCTCTCCTCTACGGAAAAAAAAACAAAGAATAGAGAAAATATAGGAGAAAAAGATTTTAAACTCCTTCATGCTGAGCTCTTTGGAAGACTTAATGGGAATTTCTCTCCTACTTTAGATTTTTGAGTACAGCCTGTCTTATCATAATCACAATAATAACCACATGATATGCATAGAAATAACAACTTATCAAAGAAAACACAATACACAAAGGAAGAATTTTGCATTTTGGAAACTAACAGCAAAACAAAAAATTCAATTTTCATTATGTGATGATTTGCATATTCAAGAAATAAAATATACCAGATTTTGTAGGTAAAGATGAGACTAATTTTAATATTTTGTCATTTATCAAGTTATTTTTCCCATAAATCCCCGCTTACTGAACCAAAATTCCAGCCCTTTTACTCAACTTCTCAGATAAAATACGCAATTTCAGGATTGTTCCTATTAAAATTACGGGGACAAGTCAAATGAATAACTAATAATAAAAAAAGTCCCTCAACAATCTATCACCTTGTCTAAGTTTTCCTCTAAGAATTTTTTTTTAACCACTGTTCAACTGGCCATCAGCAACAAAAAAACTGACAAAAAGTAAGGACACAATCTGCAGAGTGATTTTTTTTTTCTTTATTCTTACCTGCAGTTGTTGGTGTGGACAGGGAGAGGATGATCTGAAGATGTTGAGCTTTCCTCCAGTGTTCAGGCTGTGAGTGAGTGAGAGAGAGGGGAGACCATATTTTATAGTGGCAGAGATGAAGGAGGAGGAGCCTGGGTTTGTGGGAGGAGCTTGTTGCTGGCGCAGAAACCTACGGTGGTGACGCCACTGAAGACGCAAACGTGCACACATGCAGGAAAACGCACAAATCAACGCCAGCGTGCGCACACACCAAATTCCATGAGCAAGTGTCAGGATAAAGGTGGCAGCTTTAATGGTGTCGCCTCCTCCTCACTCACCTGTGTCAGGAACACACACACACACACACACACACGGGGTTGGTGGTGTACTTCTGTGGTTTCCAGTGAAGAGAAGCTGAAAGGCTCTTTAACATGAAGTACAATGCATTGCCAGGTGAGGAGCAACATGCAGTTCAGAGCCCTTTCAGGCTTCAATTTCATAAAGGAAAGAAATTTCACTCTGACAGGTTCTTTTCTTTATGCCATCAAATGCCCTCGGTTGGTGTTCTCACAGAATAAGTTTAAAAATACAATTCACAACTGAGACTTTAAACTAAACTTTATTTCGTCTGATGCACGTGCGGCCCCTGGCGTATCCGGAAAAATCAGACTTTTCAGACAACATGTCAAGAGATTTGTCCATTTAATCACTAATACAATCAATCAAATAGATGCTGCTGAGTGGAAGTATTTAACAACAGGAACTCCTATTATCCTTTCTTTTTTTGGCAACAATTTTAATATTTTCCGTCAGTATCAGTGATTGATGTGTCTGAGCTCTGTCCCATGAAAACCATGTATCATCAGCTTTTCATGAGTTAAGAAAAAAAAATGTTACAATCTTTTGTGTGACGATGCAATTCAGCAAATTCACTGGATGTTTAACTTGTTTTTTTAGTTAAAGAGAGAGGATAATATTCTTAATCCTTACATGTGTCAACTTTGTCAACTTTAAAAAAATAAAAATAAAAAAATAAATCCCCAGTTTTGGAGATACATGTTTTTTCTTGGACAGCATCAATATGTGCAGTACTGATCCAGTGGGTATAATGGGCTCAGTAATATCCATCCATTTAACCATTTTGCTCTGCTTTTCCAGAGTTGGGTGGCAACAGGCTAAACAGGCCATTGCAGACTGCCCTCTCCAGAGCAAAGTTTTCCAGCTACTCCTGTGGGATCCCATTAAAAGGTGAGATAATTTCTTCAGAGAGCTCTGGGTCCAACTAGTGCCACGTCCCAGTTCTACAAGCCTGGAAGAACCTCTTAAAGTAGGCATCCGGTAGGCATCCCAGAGGCAACAGATGGCCAAACCACCTAAGCTGGCTCCTTTCAGCATGAAGGAGAAACAGCTCTACTCCAAGCTCCTCATCCTGTCTGTAAAGCTGAGCCCAGCCACCCTGCAGAGGGAGGAAACTCATTTCAGCCACTTGCATTCTTGATCTATTTTTTTTTTCTGTTACTCAGTGAGGGTTGGAACGTAGATCGACTGGTAAATTGAAAACTTTGCCTCTCTCTTCACCATGACAGTTTGGTACAGTGCCTGCATTACTGTTGATGCTGCATCAATCTGTCTGTCCATCTGGAGGACCAGTGCAGAGTCTGTGTTGGCTGTGGAACAGTGATGCAACTCTTTACTCTGCAGAGTTGCTGCAGGTGTTATGAAACTTGGACCACCCAGTCCTTCTGTGTTTTGTGGATTTGGAGAACCCATGGCCGCCAGGGAACCTTATGGAGCAGGAGTGCAGTTCCCCTGGGCTGCTGCTATGAGCCATCCAGTCCCTGATAAACCAAACTGAAAGCTGTGTTTGTATTCTTGGCACAAAATGAAGCATGCTTCCAGCAGATGTTGGACTCTGTGCAGGTGACTCTTGTCTCCAACCCTGTTTACAATTTTCATTAATGGAATCTCTCAGAGGAGCCGGCATGAGGAGGGTGTCTGTTTTGGAGTCATTCTTATGGCTTCATAGAATAGAAACTAATATGCAAGGTTGTAATTCACAGAGTATATGTAAGTCTGATATAGAGGTTCTGAACACACCGTTTACCAGGTTTGATATCACTTTGAACAGCCTACATAGAAACATTGGAATGCATTAAAAGCTTAGAAGGTCAAAAATTAACAAGAGAATGTTTTGAGCTAACAATAAGGTTTTTGTGCCTGGAAAAAAAAAAAAAGCTCTGGAACTTGCAAGGCCAGAAAAACATTAACAGCGTTATGGTGCTTTGTGGAGAAAGACTGAAGGAATTCATGTAGTTCATAGATCTGGACATTGGAATAATAAAATGAAGTGGTACTGCAGGAATGGGTTTCTAAAAGGTTCAATAAAGCTGTAAAGACGTACTAAAGTGTTTATCACATTTTCAAGCTAAAGCATGAATTCTTCAGTGTTTGACTTCTTAATCACCATCTGCTGAAGTTACTTTTTTTTAATATTGCTTTTATATGTGCTAATTCTGCAAAAAGCAACTGCAGTATTTTGTGCTAGGTTTGAAATGAGCAGTTATGTGGGGGAAGACAAAGTAATGCGATACAATCAAGTCCTTTGATTATCGGATCGGATATTCAGCGTTTTTCCTGTTTTTGGTTTTCGTGTTTTTTTTTGTTGTTTTATTAAACTAATTCCCAATAATATAAATATATTTAAAATTGTGCTACTTTTGCTGTGATTAAGGCGCCTCTGTGTTTGCAGTCCATACACATATAAAACATGGACGTAGCCTTGCGGTCTAAAATGTAAAGCCAGTGCCGAAGTGCTTGAAATCTGCATTCTTTCTAATGGCCAGCAGGGGGCAACTCCTCTGATTGCAAAAAGAAGTTTGCTTGTATGTAAGTCTATGCAAAAAGGAGCTTATTCCTCCCTTGATGTGTTTCCTCAGTAAACATTTTTCTAGTGAGTTTATGGACTCAACTGTTAGTTTCAAGACTTAGGGAATACAACATGGTAGTCATTTTGTAAATAATCATCCCATTTACAGTAAAGCAGACAATAAAGCTGGGAATGCTAGGAAGTCATTAAGGATCACCTTTAAAGAGTCTTTCATGCAACACTCAAACCATGAAGCCATTGGAGAAAGAGATGTATTTATTATCTGCTGTTTTGCTGGAGGTGGGCGACAAACCATGTGGGGTGACATGTACAGCCATACAACCTTCTCTTGCCCAGAATCCATTTTGCTAATTCTGTTGGGTCAATTTAAATACTGATTTGCATGCAGGGTTTGTCTGAATTATTTTAAATTCATCATTTGTTCAGCTGATGCTGAGATCACAGGCAGGGAGGCTTTAAAGCCTTTTATGAAAATATGTTCATTCTTCAGCTCCATGTAGTTCAGGTCCTGAAACTTTTGCTTCCCTGGGGATATTTCCTAGCACTCAGAGTGAATGAAGTCCTATAACGTGGGTTTATTCTGTCATGAAATTTAGTTGAGTGTCGATAAGACCTGTGGAGCTGCACAATTAGATGTACTTTTGTACATGTACAGTACATTTGAACAGGTAGTTACCCAAATCATGCACAGTATTGTACCAGGAATAGTTATTGTAATGTCGATAATGTATGTCGTCTTTGAATGTGTTTTCTTTCATTTTGTATTTAGTTATTGGTTTAAATAATTCTTCATCAGTTGTTCATCTGTTTCCTGTACTACTCCTCCAGAAATCAGTAAAGCTGTATCTTATCTAAACTATCATGTGGCACTAATGGTGTATTCTGCTCAACACTGAACTCAGTTATGGCCACATTGCATTCATCTGTAAGAGTGACATTGCAGATGGAGATAGAGGACTATCTGAGTCTGTCCCTGGTGTGTTTTAGCGCTCCTCTCTTTAATAATGAGATGCCTCCTAACACTGTCATTAGCAGCTGTTTAACTCTGATGGAGGATGCATCCAAACACTGTCACTGGCACCTGTCGAACTTCCAACAGACACACATGAGCAAACACAGCATTTTAAAAGTGTTCATTCAAACTTTCGACCCACCCCACTGCACACTGGCTCTCACTTTAACATTCAACTATCTATACTTTATGAACAGCATTAGTTGATATCTTCTCCTTCCTGCTGTTAAGAAAATCAAGTAAAATGTTTGTCACATTTTGACTTTTCAGCCTTGTAAGCCTGCAGCCTTCGTGTTTCAAAATCAAATCCGGGGTGTCTTAGGTCGTGTCATTTTGGACAAACAGACAACTGAACAAATGACTGGAAGCTGACTAATCCACTCTCCTCCCACAGGATTTCATTACAGAAGTGCGGCGGTGAGCCTCATCAGACAGGTTCTGTCTACTGTTTGGAGAAGAAAAGATGAAGATGAAGCCCCAAAAAAACCCCAAAAAACTGTAGACTATATATATATATACAAAAAATGCTTCCTGTGCAAAATCATTATGTAGTTTTTTGATGAAGCTATTTTCCATTTTAAACATAATTAAATCTGCATCTGTTGCCCTCTACATGCCTTTTTAAATCTGTAACTCATATCAATATCCCACCAGAGAGCTGTCCTAAAAATGACCATTTTACCACTTGTATACACTGTATATTGCATGGCTATTTACATAAGATTCCATCATGCACACTTGGCAGATGGTTCAGTTCAGAGCAAATTAAAAAAAAAACTTTTCCTATGTGCATTGTGAATTCTTTCAAATGGCCAGCAGGGGGAGCCTCCTCTGGTTGCAAAAAGAAGCTAGATTGTATAGAAGTCTGTAAGAAAATGACCCTACTTCTCCCTTGAACTGTTGCACCAGTTAGCATTTTCCTGATGAATTTATAGTCTCAATCTTTAGTTTAGACTTTTTAAATGTATGATGAATGTCTATTTACAAAAAGAATGCATATTCATCTGGCAGATGCTTCTGTTCAGAGCAACTTTTTTCTTTTTTTTTTTTTACCATGGTGATGGCGGCATTCATAGACGCATAGACAACGAAAGTGAACGTTTTGAGTGTCTTGTCTATCCCAGACATTCATTCCGCAAAAACTGTGGCCGGGAGACTTTGCTGGGCGTCAGGACAGTGAACGGCGCTGGA